GGAGGAGGAGGTGCAGAGGACGGAGGAGGAAGTGGAGGAGACTCTATTGTTATGACCGGCAGAAGGGGTGAAAGAGGAAAAGCAGGTCTCCTTGGTACCTCCAACTCCAGGGAACTCTGTACAGAATCGAGGGCTATTATTGGAGGTTGTCGTGGTGTTGAATCCTCCAAATCCAGAGACTCCGAGATGTGCTCGTGTCTAAGAGATGGCGATGGGGATCTTCTGCCCTGGTGGTGTGATTCAGTGTCATCAGGATGACCCCGATCGGAAGAGATAGAGGTGACCTGGCTACTTCGCGGAGAGACTGCCTCGGAAGACAAGGCCGGTGCATCAGCCTGAGATGCGGTATCTTCGCCGCTGGTCCTGCCTTCCGTCGAGGTTGTATCTTCAGCATCTTGAGGGTTGCCGTAGAGGCGATGCTTGAACTCTTCCAGGAGGTGCTTCAGCTGCCTCAAAGCTTGCTGGGAGACCTGATGGAGAGATTCGCCCGTGGCCTGAACAGCCTGATTTCCTGACTGGCCGAGAAGAAGAAAAACACGCAGTGTCGCCGATTTGGTCGACCACAGAGCGTTGCGAGTCGCCTTGGAGACCTCATTCGACCATCGTGTTTGCCTCTTGATTTTCCGTTTCAAGCTTCTCCATTCCTCGCGCTTGGCCTCACTATTGTCTGGTCTTTTGGCCTCCTGCTTGGCCTGACTACGCAGCTCCTTCATACATTTCGACAGCTCTCCCTGCAAAGCCCTCAACGCCTCCACGGAGTCCCGCATCTCTTGCTCAGCAACTGGATCGGGCCTCTCACTCAGATCGTTCAGCCAGGGGTCAATGCGAAGCTGTATCAAGCCGATTACGTCGAAAATCGTGTCGAGGTTGCGCACCGCGGTCTGAAATTCCGTCTCCGGCTCGGGCGCTAGGCGTTTTTGCGAGGAATAGAAATGCTCTATAGCGCCCCTGGCCCACCGCTCAATCTCGTATTGAGACACTTCCAATGGACACCGCTCCAGGTCTTGCGCTGGGATGTTCTTGAGAAGCTCTTTCGCGCACACCGCCGCCGACAAAGATGCATACGAGTGCCAGTCGTCGTTCTTGTGGCCATCCGAGTAGTCTGAGATCCCCCGGATGGTGAGACAGGAGATTGTCTCCATGATTCCGACGGCTTCCATCTCGTAGCATATAATACCCTGCTTCCCGGCATACTCATCACGCTCACTGGCTTTCTTCATGACCTGGTCCGCAGAGCCCACCACACCTTGATGCACCTGCACTAAGTTGCCGCGGCGGGGATTGCGCACGGAGAGGGAGCCCAAGGCCTGAGCTTCGGCTCTCAAGCAGTCACAGCAGCTGGAATGGATGTAGGTGGGCAGATAGAGGTTATCGGTCGCGGGTCGAGGAACGGTGTACGGCCTGACTTCTTGGATGGTCGCCTCGATGTTCAGGTCCTGCCTCAGCTTCAAACCCAATCGGGTCATTGCGCTTTGCAGGATTGGCGGTGGGGTCCCAGTTTTGCCGATGACTTCGAAGCCATGGTCTGTGTTCTTCCCATGTCGGTAGGGCACAACCTTGGTTCCAAGAACGACATCTCCCAAGCGCACATCCTGCCGAGAGGGCGAGCCACCGCCGATGCCCACGAGAAGCATGAATCGAATGGATGGGAAGGTGCTTCGCATATCGGAGGCGATTCGTGCGGCATGAACCTCCCCGTTGTTTCCAGCGGCCGGACAGTTCATGACCACTAAATGTCCGCCGATGTGTCCGATATCATAGCTGTTCCGGTCATTTCGGCCCCGGATGATCCCACTCGAATCAAACACCTCGTCGAACATCTTGGACGCCTCATAGTATTCGCTGGGGAGGATGCATATCCAGCCGATGAGGTAGTTGATTTGGGAGATGGTCGCCTCGTGCGTCGCGGCTATGCTTGCTTCGGATCTAGACATCGCAATGGCCAAACAGCAACCGGCAATGTACCAAAAGCATTGGCCGGGGTCTTTGAATGTAATGGGAGCAGAGTCTGTAAGGTGGAGCGGGGGGGGAGGGGGGGGGAAGAGGATCTCTGCGGGTTTTATAGTGGGAAATACTGCGCGTACATGACCAGCGAACAAAGACGAGTTAAGGCATAAGCACTACTGTTCGCACATTCCCCAAAACTGCTCATCGTCCGCGCCAAAAACAGGGATGGCAATTGTCTCAACTGCAGACTCGGGGGTGGTGCTGGGGAAAAAGCAAAAAGCAAGCAAAACAGGGGATATTCAGGCCTGGTTTCTGCCTTGTGGTGTGTGGGAGATTTTTGTGGCTATACCACCTTGAACGGCCAAGAGCTGAGGATGGTATAAGCAGCCACGGCCTGATTCCATGTCCTTTGGAGTCCTGAGTACTTTGGTGGTCTCGCTGCCCTGGTGCCTCACAGCCTCCTTGCCGACACACTGTTCCCTTTTCCCCTCTCGCTGCTGATGAATCCAGACCCCATTTTGTCGTGCACCCTTTTCAGTTCGAAATGAAAAAATCGTTTCATGCTGCAAATCACAGTGCACCGTATGTTCTCCACACACCAGACTCTGCAGTTGCAGTCAGTCCCAACGCAGTGTCCAGAACAACCGCCAGCGATACTTCGGCACCTGCCAAGGGTCGATTGATGGCTGGCCCACTGACCGAACACCGCCGGTGATAATTGCCAGACTTGTCGATTAGCGCGGTACAAGGCCGACCTTCGGAATCTGATGCGAAGCCCCCGGATTTGAACGTGGATGGCGCTGATAGGGTCAAAGGGCCACCACCACCTCGTCCTGAAGTACCGGAGACCGGTCGTCCGCAAGGCTGAGCGAAGGGTGTTTTTATGGTGCCCTGCAGGACTATGCCATTGGTGAGATTGCTTGCTGACTGCAGACTCGCAAGTCTCCGCGTAGTAGAGGTACCTTGGTCTATTTGCCTTTTCCAGATTAGACCATGCAAGTATCTGACGCTAATGCTGCTCCCGACATGGATTCTGCCCTGGGTTTGTCTTGGGGGATTCCGGGACTCGGCTCTTCTCCTCCCCTCTCTTGATGGTGGTCATCAGCTTTGTTACCAGTGACTCCCGGTGGCTCTTTTCCTGCTCGAGTGGCTCTGCAGGCAGGGATAAAGCGTAAAGCCGTTCGTGCAGTTGTGCTGGCAAATCAAAAGCCCCATGTTGTGTCATGCACCGGAGCCAGTGTCTCAGGTTCACCGATTCTTGCAGCCTGTGCTGGGATCATGGGAGCCTGGAAAGTAGCAGGCATCTGCAGTACGGACTCAGGCCTTCCGCTTAGTGAGCCATGATCAAGCAATCTAGTACATCTTAGCTGTTGACGCGGTGTATGAGGGGAGGAGTTGGAGGGGAATACTACCGTGGGTTATCAATGTAGTATGGATTGTCGGCCGGAACAATATGCATTAACCACCTGTTAGTTGGTATCTTGAGCTGATATTCGTTGATTGAAAGAATATAGCTGCCTACAGTATAGTTCGTGCTTTCTACTCAACTCCTGTTCCTGATAGCGATCTATGATCTGCCTCGGTTCAGTCCAGCAAGGGTTCGCTTGTCAGGCTGAATTTCACCCTAAAGACAGATAGATCTCCTTCCATCTGTGCCTGGATGAGTGACGCGTTAGATCCATTGGATCGAATCCACCCGCGGTAGATTGGAAGCTGTGTCGACATTACATGGTTCAACTATTGACAATATCCCGATGCTTGCGGTGAGTTCCCCCATGTCGGATGTGTATAGAGAGGTACAATAGCATATCACGCCTCTGCTGATCAAGTCCCATGTAAACACCCCCAGGGCAATCTCAGGATGTCACAAGTTAGATCAAGTAGTAGCCCTCGTCGAGAAGAAGAAGAAGAAGAAGAAGAAGAAGAAGAAGAAGAAGGAGAAAGAAGAAGCGGTTTCACCCTCAACTCCAAATGCTACACCCCCGGGGTTCAGATCCATGGCTCTATCCCGGCGATGATGACACCACCACTTTTCCCTCCTCTCCATCTCTTTCATCCCCCTTTCTCTTCCCCTCCCACTCACCCCCCCCAAAATAATACTTAATATATGAGCTAACCTAACATGCCCCCAGCAATCATCACTCGCTCAGACTCTCCTTCTCTTCCTACGTATCATCATGCCTTCTCCACAGTCCAGCGCCTCCTCCCTCTCCACCATCCCAACCGAGCATCCCAGCTTCGAGCCCGTCCGCAGCAGCAGCAGCGGCGGCCTCCGCCCAACGCAGAGCCATGTGGCCATCTCGCGCATCGAGTCCCTCCGACTGACCCATGAATCGACGGTTGGCTCGCGCGTGGGCAGCACCCGCACGCCGCGCGAACAATGGCTCCCCATGGGCGGGGGCAAGGAGTTTCCCCCCGATCTGCCCGATCCGGATCGATATGTGGTCGAGTTTCTCGACGAAAAGGACCCGATGCATCCGCATAATTGGTCGACAGCGACCAAGTAGGTCACTTTCAGGATATCTGGACCGACGCGACTACTTGATCATCTAAAATACGTTTATCCAGTGCTAATCGAATCACATCGCCCTATAGGATCCTCCTCTCTGCCATCCTCGCCTACGTGACCTTCGTCGCCTCGTTCGCGTCCGCCATCTTCTCGTCGACCATCATCTCGATCAGCGGCCAATTCCACATCAGCACCGAAGTGGCCACTCTGGGCGTGACCCTCTACGTCCTGGGTTTCGCGGCCGGCCCGACCCTGTGGGCACCGCTGTCCGAGCTCTACGGCCGTCGCTGGCCCATCACCGCCGGGATTTTCGGATACAGCGTCTTCACGATCGGCACGGCCACGGCCAAGGACGTGCAGACCATCATGCTCACCCGCTTCTTCGCGGGCCTGTTCGCCGCGAGCCCGCTGGCCATTGTGCCGGCCGCCTTCGCCGACATCTACAACAACCGTTCTCGGGGGGTGGCGATCGCCATGTTCGCCATGGCGGTCTTCGTCGGGCCCTTCGCCTCGCCCTTTACGGGCGGCTTTATTACCATGAGCTATCTGCGGTGGCGGTGGACCATGTACATTGCCAGTATCATGGGCTTTGCCGGGTTCACCCTTCTCCTGCTCTTCTACCGCGAGACGTACGCGCCCGCGCTCCTGCAGCACAAGGCCTCCATCGTACGCCGGCAGACGCGGAACTGGGGCATCCATGCCAAGCAGGATGAGGTGGAGATCGATCTGCGCGAGCTGATCACGGTCAACTTTAGCCGCCCGTTTCGGATGCTCTTTACCGAGCCGATCGTCTTTTTGGTCACTTTGTACATGTCCTTCATTTACGGATTGATGTATGCGCTACTGGCGGCGTACCCGGTGGTATTCCAGGAAATTCATGGGATGAATCTGGGGGTGGGCAGTTTGCCGTTCATCGGCTTGATCATTGGCGAATTTGCCGGAGGGGCGTACGTGTTAATGAGTCAGGGGAGCTACACGAAGAAGCTGATTGCCAACGGAGACGTGCCGGTGCCGGAGTGGAGGCTTCCGCCGGCCATTGTGGGGGGTGCGGCGTTTACAATCGGGTTGTTTTGGTAAGGCGTGGTCCCCAGGAACAAGCGATCGCATAGCTTAAAAGAGCTCAGGTACGGCTGGACGGGCTGGACTCAGTCTATCCACTGGATGGCCCCAACGGCATCGGGGGTGTTCACCGGGTTTGGAATCTACTGCATCTTCTTGCAGTGCTTCAACTACCTCATCGACTCTTATCTGCAATTGTGAGAGTCCTGGTCCGAGTGGGAGAGACAGCAGCTGACGAACTAGTGCGGCCTCGGTCTTCGCCGCCAACACGATCCTGCGGTCCGCGGTGGGCGCATGTTTCCCACTGTTCGCCAAACAGATGTTCGTCAACCTGGGGGTGCAATGGGCGGGGACTCTGCTGGGATGCTTGGCTGCGATCATGATTCCGATCCCCTTGGGATTCATCCTGTATGGGCCAGCGTTGCGACGCAAGAGCAAGTTTGCGCCCGCCCCCGTAGTCTTCCAGGAGAAAGCTTGTTGATAAGCACACGTGAAAAAGTTCCGTAATCGCAGTCTTCCGGTGGGCGCCAAGACTGGCCGCGGTTTTTCCGCCGGGTAGCGAAGTGAGGCTAACCGATAGCAATCAGGAGATATTTGTCGCATGGCCGCTGATTGCCTGAAGAGTCAGTGCCAAGTACGCCAGCCATGGACCAAGCAACCAGTCCAGTTGTAGCCAGTTCCTTTTGCCAAGATGCCAAGATGCCAAGATGATAAGCAGGAAATTTCCCATACGTTGTGTTTCCTGATCGCCTATAGTTGCTTTATCACTTGGCCTTTTTCTTTTTTTTTTTTTTTTTTCTCTCTTCCGGGGTTTCTGCCTGAGCTGCCACATAAGAACCCCTGGTTCCCCGGACGTGGGGGGTGCAACTGTCAGTCAGCGTTGTTAGTTGCCATTTCTCCAGTGCTGGTCTCGCAGCAGACTGTCTCGCATCATGAGTTTGCAGAACTGGGTGCATCAAACCAATCTCGCGGTGGCTCGCAGCCCCGTGGGGAGATGGTTCCGATTGGAAAACTCGGGCCATGTAAGTGGCACTCTGTGGATGCACAGCAGTGCATCGCGAGCGTGACTGATCCCTCCCTAGCCCAAGGAACGCAAGGGTAGTTTCTTCTTCACCGAGCTGCGCGCCGGTCTCGCCACCTTCTTCGCCATGGCGTACATCATCAGCGTGA